GTAGATAACCCAAGTTCCTGGTTTCCTCTTCAGCCCCCTTTCTGTCCTTTGTGTAGTGCCATGTTTGTGTTTGTGGATGAATAAGTTAATAATAGAAAGAAAAGATAAAGACTCTCCTTGAGTAAATTTTACTGGACATTTTTCAAAGGCTGCCTGTTCCTTACTGATAGCTTACTCTTCTGTGGATTGGAAAGGAGGTGTGTGTTTGTGGTTGACGATGGTCCCATGCTCAATTTTGGGGTGTGACGAGGGGAGAGGTTGGTCACTCTGAGGTCAGAGCGGCCCAGATGTAGTGCTGCCATCGAGTCAAACGCCCTGTTGTTTTCCAGATGAGGCCAGTGAGGTCCAGACGGCCCAGCTTCAGTGACAGTCACAGAGCATCTGTGTGCCAGGCCCTGGATATGCCACTGCAGCTCATGAAGCAGCTTGTGTGCAGAAGGAGCTCCCCTGCCGATGGGGAGGGGCAGGGCACGAGCAGGGGAGCAGGGGAGCAGCCAAGGCCTCCGTCTGAGCCTCTGAAGGTTGTGCTTGAGCTGTGTGGTGAAGCAGCACGGGATGGTCAGGACAAAGGCACAGAGGCTAGAGAGGGAGTGCTGGTGGGGGAAGGGCAGAGAGAGGCCACTTTCGCTGGATCCCGGCCTGTTGGGGGGAAGGCCGATGAGGCCGAAAAGATCGGTTGAGGCCAAATTGTGAAGAGTGGAAAAGATGGTCCAAGGAATTTGCTTCTGGTAGCAGTAATGTGCTACTTGAGTTGATTGAGTAGGGAAGTGAAAAATCATTTTGGCAGCAGCATGGACTAAAGTGGGGAGTGACTTGAGGCAGGGAGGCCTGTTAGGAGCCTGTGGCAGTCAGGGTCACATAAAGGTAGTCATCATAAAAGGCAGGATTTGAACCCAGCTCCTCTGATGCCAGAGCCAGAGTGTTTTCTTTTCTTTTTTTTTTTTTTTAAAGGCAATTGGGGTTAAGTGACTTGCCCAGGGTCACACAGCTAGTAAGTGTCAAGTGTTTGGTCTGAGGTCGGACTTGAACTCAGGTCCTCCTGACTTCAGAGCCAGTGCTCTATCCACTGCGCCACCTAGCTGCCCCGCCTTTCTTTTTTTTTTAAGTTTATTTTTAGTTAGATTTTGAATTCTAAATTTTTCCCCCTTCCTTTCCTCCCTTCCCTAAAATGGCATGCAATCTGATATAGGCTATACATGTACAATCATATTAAACATATTTCCACATTAGTCATGTTGAGAAAGAAGAATCAGAACAAAAGGGGAAGTCCATGAGGAAAAAAAAGAGAGAAATTAGTCTGCTTCAATCTGCATCCAGACTCCGCACTTCTTTCTCTGGAGGTGGATGGCATTTTCCATCATGAGTCCCTTGGAGTTGTCTTAGATCATTGCATTGCCGAGAAGAGCCAAGTCTATCAATAGTGATTTAGGGCATTTTTTCAAAGGACTATAAATGACTTTAATTTCTTCATCTGAGAACTGCCTGTTTATATCCTGTGACCATTTATCAGTTGGGGAGCGACTTATATTATAAATTTGACTTAATTCTCTCTATATTTTAGAAATGAGGCCCTTATCAAAGACACTGGTTGTAAAAATTCTTTCCCAGTTTTCTACTTTCCTTCTAATCTTAGATGCATTGGCTTTGTTTGTGCAAAAACTTTTCAGTTTAATGTAATCAAAGTTACCCATTTTGCATTTTGTATTGTTCTCTATCTCCTGTTTGGTCATGAATTCTTCTGTTCTCCATAAATCTGATAGGTAAACTATTCCTTGTTCTCCCAGTTTGCTTACAGTATCAGCTTTTATATCTAAATCATGAATGCATTTTTACTTTATTTTATTATATGGTATGAGATTTTTGGTCTATGCTTAGTTTCTGCCATACTGTTTTTCCAATTTTCCCAGCAGTTTTTGTCAAATTGTGAGTTTTTATCCTAGAAGCTGGGGTCTTTGGGTTTATCAAATAGTAGATTACTATAGTCATTGACTACTGTGCCTTGCATGCCTAACCTATTCCACTGATCCACCACTCTATTTCTCAGCCAGTACCAAGCAGTTTTGATGATTACTGCTTTATAATACAACTTAAGATCTGGAATGGCTTGGCCACCTTCCCCTGCATTTGTTTTTATTAGTTCCCTTGATATTCTGTACCTTTTGTTCTTCCACATGAATCTTGTTATCATTTTTTCTAACTCTCTAAAATAATTTTTTGGTAGTTTGATTGGTATGGCACTGTGTCATTTCTTATGAAACAATAGTATTCCATTACATTCATATATCACAACTTGTTTAGCCCCTCAATTTCCAGTTTTTCACTACCACTAAAAGAACTGCTATAATTGTTTTTGGACATGTGGGTCCTTTTCACTTTTTTATGATCTCTTGGGGATACAGACCTAGGAGTGGTAGTGCTGGGTCAAAGGGTATGCAGAGTTTTGTAGCCCTTTGGGCATAGTTCCAAATTTCTCTCCAGAATGTTTGAATCAGTTCACAATTCCACCAGCAATGCCTTAGTGTTCCAATTTTCCCACGTATTTTCCCAACATTTATCATTTTTCCTATTTTGTCATGTTAGCCAATTTGATAGAGTAGGTACCTTAGAGTTGTTTTAATTTGCATTTCTCATAGTGATTGAGAGCATTTTTTCATATGACTATAAATAGCTTTAATTTCTTCATCTGAAAGCTGCCTGTTCATATCAGTTGGGCAATGACTGATAGATTTGATTCAGATCTCTATATAGTAGAGAAATGAGGCCTTTATCAGAAACACTAGCTGTAAAAATTGTCTCCCACTTTTGTTTTCCTTCTCATCTTGGTTGCATTGGTTTTGTTTGTGCAAAACCTTTTTAATTTAATATAGTCAGAACCATGCGTTGGTCAGAAAAAGCGATACAAGGACACTCTCAGGGTCTCTCTTAAGAACTTTGGAATTGATTGTGTGGCATATGAGGGACGCTGGCACAGACCACCCAGCATGGCATGCCCATTCCATGGGCAGAGCAGAATTGAAGGAGCTCAAAAGAAACCTGAGGATGCGCCAATTTAGAAAATCCACCCTGAAAGTTCCTGTGGACTATTTAACCTGTGGTAGAGCCTTCTGAGCTCCTCTTGGTCTAATCAGCCCAATCAGACGCACTGTAACTTGACTCCAGCGTAGTGATATCACTTTGGTCCTCCTTGAGAAGGAAGGACAACAATCAACCAGCCCACCAGGGGGTCAGAATTCCTGCTGTGGGGAGGAGTCTGATGGCGGAAATATGCTAGTCATTGACAAATGAGTTCAGGTGTCTTGCAACATCAGTAAGATTTCACTCTCAGGGTGCTAGGCAGCTCGGGTGAGGGGACCACTTGGGGGAGCTGATGGAATGCTATTTCTCTCCTTTCCTTACAGGTAGGCCAGGCCAGGCGATAGGTGGAGGGAGCAGGATGGAATGGCATTTTTCTGTTCCCTGCCCACAGGAATGGTCCAGGAGACTGGCATGTAATGGAATGCTGCCTTCTCTCTGGCGGGCAGGTCCCCTGCAAGTGGAAAGAACCAGCCTAGGAGACCCATATGGGATGGAGTGGTGCCTTTCTCTCCCCTGCCTGCCATCAGGGAATGGCCAGTCTAATCTCATTTTATCAGTGGCACAGCAGATCTAGAGGTGACTTGTCCAAGGTCATCTGGAGTCAAAGATGAGTATAAACGTAAGGTCTGCAGTTGAATTGGGGCAGGAAGAGAGGCTGCCAGGTTATGTATGGAGAGCAGCACTTTCATCTCTTTTTGTGTGTGTGGTGGGGGAGGGAAGCTGTGAACGGTATTTTCCTGCTCAGAGGAGGGGTTTCTCCGAACACAGATGAGTAATGTGACATTTCAGAAGTGTATTTTATGCCAGTGGTAAGGTTTAAATTAAAACAGATTCTTTCAGGAATATGCAAAAGAAGACCTAATTCAGAAGATGAAGAAAAAGAAACTTCGTTGCTGAAGCAGGAATCTGGTCTGTTTGTTCCCTGAGAGTCCTCAGCCCTCGGTTAGGGTCTCCCTGGAGGTCTTGGAGCTTGATGTGATCCACCTGGCAGCTGTCTCCTGCCCCTGAACCTCCTCTTTTCTTCCATTCCCGTGTCCTCATGCTTTACCAGAATTCACAGCTGGCTATGGCACCCTCCCCTTCCACAGGCCCCATTGTCCCCACCTTGCATTTGTAATTAGTGATGATGATAATAGCTGGCCATAAGGCCGCTTAGCATTCGGCAGACACGGCCGTAGTGGAGCCTCAGCTCTGTGCAGGGGTGCCACATACAGCATCCTCATTTTACTTGTCAGGAAAGTAAGCTCAGATGGAAGGATTTGTTTGCCTGCAGTCCCTGTGGGAGGTGTGGGATTTGAACCCTTGTCTCTAAGTTCCACGGTCAGCTCTGTTTCCTGTGCCAGGGTACCTCCTGTTTCTGTAGAGTGAGTGCAGTGATTCAGTAAGCACCAGGATAGGATGGATGTCAGGCTTTCTCTAGCACACCGAGGTTCCCAGTGGTACAAGTCTTCTCTGTCTTTTTCCCAGACAAGATATCTCTGGTTCAGCTCTAAAACCGATGACCCGCTTTCCATAGTTTCCAAAAGTACGAGCCGCTGGTCTCCCTGGGCGCCCCCATCCCCGTAGGTATTGCTCGGGTCACCCGGCCTCCAAGAGGAGGGGCTTGGCTTTCAGGTCAGGGCTTCTGATTTGAATGCCGGTTCTCTTTTCGTTGTGCCCTGCTTACTAGGTATACACTTATGTATACACCTATTTTCTTGTTAAATAATTAAACCATAACGGAATACAAACCAGTCTTCCTCATGGGTAACTGCGTTTTCCCTATCTCGTTTTTGAACAATTAAGTGGATCGCTGGTTGTGTGGATAAGTGACAAGGGGCTGTGCTTGGTGTTGTTGCCTCTGGGTGAGCTGCCTTTCCCCAGTGGGTGGGGGTGGGGCTGCAGGAAGACTTCCAGGCCCAGCTGACTCATGGCTCTTTCTCTAGGTGGTCCTCAGGAGGCAGCGGAGTGGGAACCCCTCTGAGGATGAGCCGCAGCGCACAGGTAGGGACGGATTTCTGCCAGCTTTCTCCCTCCCCCTAGGCTAGTCTTATTTTCCCTATTGTGATGGAGAGGGGGGTTTGTTGGAGCTTTAATTTTCTTCAAAAAAAAAAAAGATTAATAGCTTTCTGTTTTATCCCTCTACTTCTCCTCTAAAAATAAAAAATCACTTTATTTTCACCTCTAAGCGTTCTCTCCCTCCCCTTCTCCACCCGTTGTGAAAGAAAGAGAAATAAAGCCCATTAGGAATATGTACAGACGTGAAAAACATTTCTGCATCAGCCATGTCTTCCTCCCCCTCCCCCTCCTCCAAAAAAAGGAGAAAAGAAGGAAGTAGAAGAAAACGTGCATCAGCGTGCACTCTGAGGCCGTCGCGTCTGTCGGGAGGTAGGTAGCACGGTTCATCATGAGTCTGTTGGAATTGTGGTGGGGCGTTGTGTAGATCAGAGTTAATAAGTCTTTACAGTGTTGCAGTTACTGTATAAACAGCTCTCCATTCTGCATCGGCTCATACAAGTTTTCCCAGGATTCTCTGAAACCCTCCCCTTGGTCCTTTCTTTCTAGTACAGTAGTGTTCCGTCCCATTCACCCGCCATTCCGCAGTTTGATGGGCACACTGCCCTCAGCTTCCAGTCTCCCTGCCTGTTTCCTCAGCTCTTGTGTGAAGATGGTGCACTGACTCATGGGGCTGTGGTGGGGTGAGTGCTTTGTCCCCTGGGGGGCACTACCAGTGCGACATTGGTGCTCCCTCCACCGGTAGAGATAGCGGCCTCTCTAGCCGCAGCAGAGGGTTTGAGGAGTTGCTGGGTACTCCTCTTCAGCAGTGACCCTGTGCTCCCTCCACTGGCTGGTCCCCGTGACAGCCCATCACCGGGGCCCAGATCGGGAGCTTTTCTGGTACTCTGCTGGCAGAGTGGGGGGCAGCCTGGGGTCACCTGCCTCCCACAGGAGGAGGATGGGCTTGGAAGATTAGTGTTGGGACTAAAGCAGCACCTCGCCTCCTGGAAATGCTGTGTCTTTGTACCCTCAGGACCTGCTACCGGCCTGGTGCACAGTGGGCCCTTAATAAAGGAGGTGGGAAGGATCAGATGAACTCGTCTTTTAAATCGGAACTGCTTCTCTAGGAAATTGAGTTCCTTCTGGACCACCGCTGCCCCCTGACCCTTTGGTCCTGTGCTTCGCACTGGTGATCTGTCTAGGGAAGGGGGTCCCTGCTGGATGTCTCCTCTGGGCGGTGGTGATCAGTGTGAACCCACCTGGAGGAGGGACCCGGTCTCCCCAGCTTACGTGGTGAAGGGCAGCAGGCAGGAGGAACTTTCTGTGCAGCTTCGAGGAGTTTTGAGTTTTAAGCTGAGGACCATGAGCTCGATGCCACTTAGCCCCTTACAGACCTAGACCCTAAGAAGATGGTCACTCTTGGTCCTCCAGTGTTCTTGCTGTGCTCACTTTGTTAGGTTCTGTGTGCACAAAGAACAGTAAGGCTGGACTCAGTCTTCAAGTAGCTCCCGCTCTAGTACGATCTGGTCACTCTGGACTCTGCTGTCGTTGTATTGAGCTAGCCACGGCCCTAGTTTTCTCCTGGGAGGAGCCTTAGTCAGGAGCCTCAGAGTTGGCCTCTGTGGGCCCCCAGGAGGCCTGTCCCAGCTGGGTTCTTCCCCCTAGGACCACGGCCACTTTTCCCTCAGCTTTCATTCATGGGTTGGAACCAGTTCTCTGCCTTTTCTGAAACCGTTTTCCTGGGCTCTCTTGGAAATGCTGTAGAATGGAAACTTTTATCAGAAGTGTTTAGTGGAGAGGGAATCCCAGCTGAGCTCCCACTTCCCCAGGGGTTACTGAAGGGAAAGAGGCGGGAGGTAGGGGTCCAGAAGGGGACCTGAAGAGTCTCTGAAGGAGGGTTGCCACTCTGCTTGTGTGAGCACTGGGACAAAGTCACATTGGGATTGGGAATCAGCTGTTCCTGGCACCAAATTTGGCACCCTATCTACAATGTTACATGCAGCTCTTTGACCTTGGGGGGTCACAGGCAATCCAGTGGGGCCTCTTGTCCAAACCAGTGACCAGCTAGTGTTTCCATCCTGGTACCTGGTCACATTTGTAAGTGAAGCTGAGGTCAAGAACCAGAGGTGGTTTTCGGTGGAGTATGAGTGGCTGCCCCCTTCCTGCATGGCCTGGCCCCCACAGGCCATCACCCTCTCAGTACCTGGCGCCCTTACACGCTGGACCTCTGTCTGTCCACTCTGCTGTTCTCCCTTCCTGACTCCTGAGATCCAAAATTACCTCTCGTGTGCTATGTCAATTAACCCTGCTTTACAACTGAGGCATCAGGAGGTCTGCCTCGCACATACTGCACATACCAGCCTTTAGTAAATATTGTTGGATTGGAGCGACCTGCTGGTGGTCTCAGAGCAAGCTGTGGCTTCAGGGTCTCTCCTTTCTCCCCCCTCCATCCCCGTGCCCTGAGGCCTGCATGGATTTGGGCCTGCTCAGGCAGTACCGCTGGCAGCAGCAGCTCATGAGGAGGATGTGTTAGCCCATGGCCGTCTTTAATTGGTCGAGCAGTGTCGGACACCTGGCCTCTCCTGGCCCTGCCTGACTCACCCCATGCCCCTGGTGCCCATGGTTACTTTCCCTCTGCATCTGGATTTCACAATGATGTTGCTGCTTCCTCCCGGAGGGAGAATAGAGCCCATCTGAAGGAGGCTGCTCTCATGGACTTTCCTTCTGAGGGGGGCCTGGAGGCAGGGCGCTAGGTCTGTGATTGCATCGGTGTCCAGAATCCCCTGTCCAGATGCTCTGAGCAGCAACTCAGAGGGACCGCTCTGAGTTGGAGAGCTGGGGCTGGCCAACCGCCAGCCCAGATGGGCTCCTGGCCGAACTTGAGCCCGGGTCTTCCCTGACTTCAGGCTGTAGTCACTGCTCTATGTTACTTCTCACCCTTCCGATGAAGATGTTTAGTAAATCTGATCTATTATAACATTATTTCTTAAAATACTTTTTAATCAAACCTGGACTCCGGGTCATAGAATCATAGGATTTTGAACTCATCTAGTTCAATTCTCTCATTTTCCAGAGGAGGAAACCAAGGCCCAGAGAGGCCAAGTGAGTTAAGTTCCCACAGATAGTACATGGCAGAGCAGATACTGGAACCAAGGGCGTCTGTCACCAAGTCCTTGTGCTTTCCCACCATTTCCCCAGAATTGAAGTGTCCATTCACAAGGTTCAAGGATATGGTGGTTTGGGGGATAAATGAAGCCCAGTGTAACTGGGGCTGGGGGGTGGGTGGAAGGGACAGCAGCATCAGGGAGAGCTCCTGGTGATGCACTCCATGAAGAGGATGCGGGACAAAAGGGCGGCCTCAGGAGGGGAGATACTTACTGACATATTGTGGGGAAGACGTCAAGTGCTTATGTATGGATGCCATATTCGTTTCTTTTTTGTGAAAACTTACATTGGTTTAGCTCATTCAGAGCGGTGTTTTGATGCTGAATAAAGCCACAGTGCCATACCTACTCCCAATGCTTGGTTTTGTTTTTTTCTCTGTTTTCCTTTAGACTTGTTATTGCCCCAACCCCACAACAGATCAACAGTTTAGCTTATCCAAGGGATTCTGTTTGGGTTCATGTGTGGTCTTCATGTAGAAGTTGTGTAGACGGTCTTTCAATATTTCAAAATCAGATTTCTTTTGGATGACCAAAGCTGACCAATACAAATTTTCCAAAGATTTCCATGTGGTGACTGCTTAATCAATATACGTATTCATTTGTGGAACCCCAAGAACCATGTTCAGATGCTGCCTAAGGGGATGGACTCTGGGATAGGGAAGAATCCCTGAAAGATCACTTATCCCCTGCCTGGGTGAGCCTCCGGGCAGTCTGGAAGGACAGAGGCTTCCCTAAGAGTAGACAGCAGTCTAATCATCTTTAAAACAGAGGTCTTATTAAATGGGGAGTTAAAGAGGATTGGGGGTGTGTGTGTGTGTGAGACAGACAGACAGAGACAGGGGAGGGGGAAGAGCGTCTTCCTCGAGCCAACGACCTCCGTGGATTTGAGCAGATTATATCCTTATGTGCCTTCTCACCCCAATGCAGTCCTGTCCTTGGTGGAGCCTGCCCACTGGCGCTTTCCCCAGGCCCTTTGAGGCTGTCCCGAGGCTTGGCTGCTTTCATTGACCCCTTGTGATCATACCTGGGATGATTTCCTTCATGCTACTTACCTCGCACAAGTCATCACCATTGGTGATGCTCCATGACATTCTCTTGTTCCTGAGGTCCCTTGCCTGGTGGTGTCCTATTAGTCACGGCCACATGGCATCTCTAGGAGGTGGAATTGTCAGAAAGATAGGTTCCCATGGCAGTGAGCCATCTGGGATCATTGGAAGTGCTGAGCATTTTTTAAAAATTTCAGTTCTCTTTTTTATTCTGAATCTAACAATTATCAGCAAAAATAAACACACACACACATGTATGTGTAGGACAGAAGAGAATTCTGTTTGAAACCATGAGCTTGTCATATGTAGTTTGTTTTTCTTTAAAAACATATACATATTTAATATTGTAATAATGAACTTGCCACGTCAGTCCCTTTGGGAATTTCTTTTCTTCTACTTTTTAATACTTTACTGATGCTCTTTTTTCATCTCAAACACATCCCACTGACTCACTCCCCTTGCCCCAGGAGCCTTCTCTTACAACAAATAAACAGAGTCAAGCAAAGTAATTCAGCTCATTCACTCCATCTGGCGGGGGCTGCCTCTTCCCCCCCCCCCCCCCCCAGGCCACCTTTTTGCCAGGCACAGGTGGCTGACCTTGTGACCGGGAAAGCATTGTCCCAGCCCCAGACCAGGCTGCTTTCTTCTCCTTTTTGGGCCTAGCTCATCCAGGATAGCCTAACAGTGGGCCAGCCACTGATTACATCTCATCCTCTGTGCTGTGTTCCGTCTTCGTCCCCGTTGTGCATATATACGTGTATGTGGCTCAGCCGGCCTTTTGTGTTACAAAATGGGG